GCCTGGTCCGTTTCCCAGGCTCCTCTTCTTTCTCTCCCAGCGGTCCATTGTCCACTCTGATGACAGTACAGATTCTTACTACATGACCGTCTCTTTGGCTCCTCTCTGACTCTTCTCCATGGGCTCTGATTCCTGGGCTTTGTGACACGTGTATGTTCCTAACAGACAATGCTCCTTTGTCCCCACTCCTTCTTTCCCTATCCAGTTTCTTTTGAAGAAGGTATGTGATTCCGGAGCCCTATTCAAGTCATGGATCTCATCCCACCGAGGCTCCATGGTGTTTGGTGGATCAAATTTGCCTCCCGGCCTTACGATCTGCAGGACATTCTACTTTGTGCTTTTGCATACAGACACTGAGGCTTGGGCTTTATGATGGCTTTTTTCTTTGAACCGTATCTTCTTTCTTGAACTTGTGGGTGTCACCACTGCCTCTCTTCACACTCCTACGATATAGCTGCCCTCTGTGGTGTCTAGCTAGGATGGACACTGGCAGTTTTCTCCATCCCCCTTCTTTTTCAGGTAGAAGTCTTTCTTTTTAGATTTGCAAGACTGAGCAAATACCTTATCAGTCCTCCTTAGCTGTACTCCATCCCTGGCCAGGAGCCTGTCATGCCTGTATTTTAAGCTGTGATCCAAATTGTGTTGTGAGTGGTGCCCATAATTGAAATAGGGAAGTCCATAGGCAGAATGTGCTTAGCAGGGCTTCTGGGAGAACATGTGGGTGCAGAAATGCCTAGAGAACATTCAGCTGGAAATGCCTAGCAGCGGGAATGTGGGGCTGCAGCTCAGGAGAGAAGAGATGGAAGTTATGAAATTCCTGATGGAGGGGGAGAAGAGGGGCTCAGGCCACAGCATCTTGACAAGCAGGCATCGTGACTGATGATCCAGCAAAGGAGCAGGCAGAGAGGTAGGAAAACCAGGAGAAAGCAGGGGCATGGAAGCCCAGGGAAGAAAGGGTCTGCGAGGGGCAGGTGGGCTGAGAGGTCAGGGAGGATGCGGACTGAGGAGAGGCTGGCAGGCTTAGAGACTTAGAAATGCTGATAACCTTTGAGAATCAGTCAGGGAAGGTGAGGGCCCAGGAGAAATAACACCCACCCGCCCCCCAGCTGCTTGTGCCTTCCCTCCCAAACAACCTTGTATTGAATTACTTTGCATATGTATTATTTACTCACAATATACTTATGCTGTACATATTTTTATGTGTACTTCTTGCCTCCCCACTTAGAACAGGAGCTCCTTGTGAGGAGAGATTGTCTCATCCTTGGTCCTTGTAGGCCTAGTGCCTGCCTGACACAGGACCTAGCACATAGTAGGCATTTAATAAATACTTTTGATTGATTGTGATAGGTCCGGGAGTCCTGACAAAGCTGTGTGCCTTAGCTTAGTGGTAGTGAGCAGTACCTCAGCAGAAAGTGAGGAGGTGGATGGTGGGGGCAGCCCAGAGCTGAGGGTCAGTGAGGCATGAGAGGTCAGAGGACAAAAGAAGAGAGATTCCAGCAGAGAGGATGGTATGAAGTTGGGCTTATCAATCATAAGGTCAAGGTCCGTGGGGAGAAAAGGCCAGAGCTATGACAGCGGTCGAGGGTCAGGAGGGACATAAGCAGCCACATCACCAAACTGGGGAAGGGATCTCCCTGTGCCTCGGCCTGGAGGCCTCCAAAGTGGTGATGCCACCCTCCATCCAGGCTTGTCTGTTCCACTCTGGGACAGCTCTAATGATTGGGGGTGAAAGCCTTGAGAACAAGAAAGGGAGCACCTGGATGGAGTATCAGGGGAAGTGAGGCCAAAGAAGCTTTAGGACTATAGAGAGGGATGTCTGAGTTCTGGGTGACAGCTGTGGAGCACTTCCAGATGCTGGAGTGGCTACGTCCGGGGGGAGAAAGGGCCCAGATCATAGCACAGCTGGAGACTGACCTGGGAGTCAGGGTGCCTGAGGGCGTGTCCAAGGTTTGAGGAACTGACTGAGGGCAAGGGTTGGAGTTCTGAACTCCTGGGAGCTAGAAGTCTGTAGCAAGGATGTTGGCAGGGTAATGAAGATGGATGGAGCAAACTTCTGAGGGGGAGAGGCTGTGAGAAGCAGGCAGTCAGCATCCTCTTCCTCTGGGCCCAGTGTGTCTGGCTGGGGATGCAGGGTCTTGGGGGTGGGGAAGAGGAGCTGAGTTTCCATGAGTGCTAGAAGGTGAAGGCCCATAAAAGAGGTCTAAGGTGAAGAGGTTTGTTACCAGAATGTGGGATCCAGCAAAGGAGGGACAGGAGGACCAAGAGAAGGGTCTCCTGGGAGCTACAGGAGGGGAGGGCGGTGCCCGACAGTGCTGCCTGCTGCAGGGAGAACTGGAAGGATGGGAGGAGGAGGAGGAGAAAAAGAGCAGGGCTTTTGTATTCGGCCAGAAGGGGAAATGTCAGGCCTTGGTCGGAGCCATGTCTCCAGCATGGGAGGGGGGTGTGTGCGTGGAAGCCAGACTGATGGGGCAGGAGGGGAGACAGCCAGCAGGCATTCTTCTCAGGAACTTGGCAGCAATAGGAGAGACAAGGGTGTCCGCCTCAGGTGGGCAGGTCAAAAGGCATGGTTTAAAGACCTGAGGTGGGGTGGGCTGGTGCAGGAATAGAAGTACAAGAAAGAGAAAAGGGTCCGTCATCTCTGGAGGTCCTAACTGGCCACCCCAGCTTGGTCAGTCAGTAAAGCAGACCCTCCCTTGGGTCAGTCGCCAGCCCGAGCACAGTGCATGGCGTATAGGAGGCACATAATGTTTGCTGAACCAAATTGTTGAATTTCTTCTGCAAACTGGGTTGCCTTGCCATGGGTCCCTTCATCCAAGTCACTAATCGAAGTACAGAGTGCTTCAGCATCAGTGTACAAAGTACTTTGATAGAAGAACAAAGCAAAGATCCCTGGGACACTCTGCTGGAGCCCTCCCTCCAGGCTGACATCCATCTCTTCATGATAATCATTCCCATTTCTCTAGGGCTTCACTTGCCTCACAATGACCCTGTACCCAGGAAGTGTCTGAGGCTGACTTGAACTCAGGTCTTCCTGACTCCAGACCCAGGGCTCTATCTGGTGTATAATTGCCCTCTGCTCTAAGCTGCTGTTGTCCCCATTTCACAGATGAGGAGCCTGAGGCCCACAGAGCCAGTAGAATGGTGGAGCAGCGACTTTACGCTGTTGCTGAGGCTCATCAGGCCCCTGTTAGGATCCGTTCATGGCTCTGAAGCCATCTGTTCCGTGGCTCTGAAGCCACATCGGGGTCCTCCAGCCTTACCCACAAGAAGGGTGCGCGAGGCCAGCTGACGTGCCACTCTGCCACTCCCCTGCATCGAGTGGCCCAGAGGGGTCTCGGCTTCTTTGCCCCTGCCAGTCACAGTGGGCCTGTGAAGAGATGGGTGGGCAAGTGGGCAGCTCCTGAGAGTCTTAGAATGTTAGCTCTCTGAGGGCAGGGCCGGTTTCTCTTCTATCTGTTTGCCTTCTGTTGATTGGCTGGCTGCCCCATATTCTAGGCTGTTCTCATGAGAAGTGACGGCAAACAGGTGTGTGGTTTGGCAGCCACTGGTGGTGGTGATACTGCATTCTGGGATTTCTCATTTCCCTGGAAGCCCAACTCCCTGACTGTCTTTGGTCAGGTGGGGTACTCTTCCCCAGGAAGCCAGACTCCACTGCCTGGTGGTGCTCACCTTTCTCCCTGCCTGCCTTATGAGGTTTCCCTCTATAATCCAGATGTCTTTTTCCCTGTAATCAACAGCTGCCTCGGCTGCAGGCTTAAGAGAGCCTGGCGTGGGGGTGCCAGGGGAGAAGGTTAATGATTCGAGTCAGAGCTGGACAAGCTCAGGTGCCAGCTGACCCAATGTCCTCACTTTATAGATGAGACAGGCCTCAAGAAAAAGGCCCAAAGGTCTTGCGTCTGGTCAATTCCTGAGCTGAGGCAAACAGAGCGAGGACAGAGAGAGCAGAGGGAGTCCCACCTAACTGCCTGTGTCTTCATTTTCCAGGTTTCTTATAGGAAAGAATGATCAAGCCAGAGCAAGGAAGCAAACAAAATAGAGAGAGCAAGACAGTGCCCACCACCCTCAAGGCAGCAGCAGTGTGAGCTAGCGTGACGAGGGAGGCAGAGGCCCCGCAGGAGACAGTGGCAGGCCAGGAGAGGCCAGAGGGAGGAGGGAGTGGGGCAAGCACGTCATCAGGAAGGACTGACCAGTCACCCTGGAGGAAGCAGGGAGGGGGGCGAGCCTGGGCACTGAGGTGGGATGGTGACCCAGGCCCCTTTGTCCCAGAATGGCACTGTCACAGAGCCTGCTTTTCAAACTTAGCTGGACCTCCACTAGCCACAGCCCTATTCCATCCCTCGTCACCCTGGCCCCAACCCCCAGTAATGCTCCTATGTAGCCTAGGCACACCACTGACTCACCGCCCCCCTTATCCTGGGCCATCCTCATTCACACCTCTATCCCTGTCATGTCCTCTGCCATTGCTGTTCACACCTCTGCCCCGTCCCCATTCACACTCCTCCCCATCCTTAATCATAACCTGTCTCATCCTCATTCATAGCCAGTTCTATCCCCTTCAGGCCTCTGCCTGAATATGTGAATACCCCCATTCACCTGCTACCTGGTCCTCAGACACAACCTGTCTCATCACCATTCATGCCCCTTTCCTACCCCCATTCACGCCTCTTCCCCATTTCCACTCATCTCTGTGGCATTCCCATTCATGCCTTTTTCCCATCCCCATTCACACTTCTGTACCATCCCCGTTCACACCTCTTTTTCATTTCTACTCATCTCTCTCCCACCCCCACTGTGACTCACCCCCATTCACAGTGCTGTCTCATTTCAGTCACACCCCTGATCCCTCAGTCACATGGATTCTCCCCATTGACACCCTCCTGGCCCCCGTTCACACTCCTGGACTTGGTTCACACCGTTCAGGCCTCCATCACATGTTTGGAATCTCATTTGCAGCCCTACTCTTCTCCTCTTAGACTTACTGTGTCCTCATTCCCTCCCAGAGTGCTTCGGATGGTTTCTGGAAGTCAGTGGCCACTCGGGTGCCCAAGGAGCCGCCTGAGATACGCATCCTCAACCCCTACTTCATCCAGGAGGCTGCCTTCAGTTTCATTGGACTCCCCTTCAACCATGGCCTAATGGGCCGGGGGGTAAGAGGCCTGGCTGGGCCAGGATGAGGAGGGCTCAGGGAGGGGAGGGGTACAGGAGCATGAGGCTGGGAGGAGCACATGCCCACAGGGCCAGTGTCATCTCGGGGAGGATGACTCCTGGATGTATACACCTAGCCCTCACCTCGCTCCTGGCTGCCAGTCTGGCAGCCCAAAAGGGCATCTCCAACTGGACAGAGGCTCTCACAATGCGCTTGCAGGCCAGGGTGAGATTAAAATCAGGTGGGTCACAGTGTGACTGAATAACCAGGAAAACAGCTGCACTGTCTGTGGAAAGAAGGGGTTTCCCTAGAAGGCCTTCTAGTAGTGAGCAGTGAGGACCTCTGGTCCCTGAGTGTGAGCAGGGAGCTGCCCGGGCAAGGCAGCAGAGCCCCAGGGCAGGGCAGGGCAGCCAAGGCCACAGAGGATCGAGTGAGGACCTCCCTTTGAGCGACCTGGGCCAGACTGTCACAACCCATGGCACCCATGTGGATTGGTGCTGCAAGTTCAGCCAGCATTGATCAAGAGGGGAGACAGCGCCTGCCCTCAAGGAGCCTGCATTCAGTTGGGAGGCAGCATGGGCAGGTAGAAGCATGTAGAAGAGGTGTTAGTACTGGCAGATGGGGGAGGCTTTGTGCAGAACGGGCTGCTCAAAGATGGCGGTGAGAAAGGAGGACACCGCAGGCATGGGGGGCCTACTGTGTGCCCGGCACTGCAATAAGAGCTTTACGAATGTTATCTCATCGGATCCTCACAACAACCATAGGAAGTAGGTGCTGTTATTGTTTCCATTTTACAGTGGAGGAAACATAGACAGAGGTTGAGTGACTTGCTCAGGGTCACACAGCTAGTGAGTGTCTGAGGCCAGATTTGAACTCAGGTCTTCCTGACACTAGGTCCTACATTCTGCCTACCTCCCCCACACCATCACCCCACCTTGCTGCCTCCAGAGAGCAGAGAGGGATCTCAAAGCTGGCCGGGAGGGAAGGCAGAGTGTTGGGAAAGCCAATCTGCGGCGGAAGGGCTCTGTGCTTCAGAAGCAGAGTCTCCAGGCCCCCACCTGGTGGGCGTGGTCATCCTGTACCAGATCCTGACCAGCACAAGTGACGGGAACCCTGGTTCTGTGTGGGCAGAGAGGGACTGTTCTGTCCTAGAGTGGGTGATGCCCAGAGGGGAGAGAGTCAGGCCAAGTCTGGCATGTGTCCTTGGTGCAGAGCTGGGGACAGTGGTTTTGAAGAGTTCAGAATAAAAGCACTGCAGTGGAGTAGAGGAGAGAGAACCAGTCTGAGAGCTGGGGAGGCCTCCAGTCCAGCATGCACTGAGAGCACGGCCCTGGGCAGGGCCCTTCATCAGACAGGGAAGGGCCGTCGGTCCAGGGCATTTCTCAGGAGAAATTCCAGGGGCGTGCCTGGCACAGAAGGAGACAAATCCTGTAGGAAGGCCCTTCACCAGGGTGAGAAGGAGCTTTCAGTGAAGTCTTGGCCACACACGTGCACACACACATACATAAATACACAATACACATAAACACATGTACACAGAACACACGTGTACATACACAAAACATACCTCACGGTGCATATAAGCACACATGTATACAAGATACATACAAACACACCTGAATGCACACATACCTGAACACACACGTGTACATACATATACATACACAAACATATACAGACGCATGCATACAAGCACATACCCCTCTCATCCTCATGAGAAGAAAAAGCAGGACCTGTCTAAAGAGACCACTGTCGCCACACTGGCAGCTCGCCAGCCGACTTAGGTTTTAAAAAGCCTGACAGAGGAAGGGAGTGAGGGCAGGGAAGCCAGGCCTGTGGTGAGCTCACATACGCAGGGAGACAGAGCCCTGCATCTCCGGCCCCTCCTGAACCTACCAGTGAGGCCATAAGAGGCCTCCCTCCTACCAGCAGCACAGCAACCCTTCCTGGCCTGGCCTCCAGTCGGCCCCATCTCTCTGCCCCTTCCTGCCTCTTTGTCTCTGCTGGCCTCTACATTTCTCTGTCTCTATTCCCCTGCGTCTCTCTCTGTCCCTCCATCTCTAGCTCTGCCCTTCTCTCTGTCTTTGCATCCCTCTCTCTGTTGCCTTATTATCTCTTCCCCTTTTCCTTTTTCTGTCTCTCCTTTTAACAGGTCTCCTCCCACATCTTTGTCTGTGACCTCCATCTTTCCCCAAGGCCGGGAGAGGGGACAGAGGTGAAACGGGAACACTGTTACAGTGTTGCCATGACCCAGTAGTGACAGCAGAGAGAGACTTCATCCCAGATGGGGAATTCAGCCTCTCTTTCCTGCCCCTCCATCTCCCAGAGAACCCTGCTGCCTTCCCCAAATGAGCCTCTGAGGGTTGCGGCTGGGTCAATACCTAAAGCCCAGGCTTGTCAGTGGGCTGGGGGGGATAGGACACCTCTGGGGAAACAGGGAGGGAGGGGAATCCCTCCCAACACACACACTCTCATCCCCCAGAACATCCCCACTCTGGGCACCGTGGCAGTCACCATGGCCCTGCACAGCTGTGACCAGGTGGCAGTGGCTGGCTTTGGCTACGACATGAGCTCACCCAACGCCCCCCTTCATTACTACGAATCTGTTCGCATGGCCGCCATCAAGGAGGTAGGAATGGGGCTTATGGGTCCTGAGGATGGTCCCGGGGGAGGGTCCTAGCTCAAAGCCCACTCTTGAGTCATTTCTGCCTCTGTTCTCTCGGGGCTTGGGTACTGGAGAATATGTACATTGGGAGGTGGTAGTGGGGGCCTGGGGACCTTCCTGGCTCTTCATGCCTAGAGCCCTGGGCCAGCCAGCCCCCACGGGGCCTTGGACTGTTCTATGCTTTTCTCAGTGATTGGCTGAAGGCAAACTCTTCTGATCTGAGGATGGCTCAAAGCTAGGAGGGAGAGAGGGAGGGAGCTAGCGTACTATGTGACAGTCAAAATCCAAGAAAATCTTAGCGGGCTGAAGCGCTGGGCTGAATCCGATCAAGTAGATGTAATCAGAATAAATGTCAACACTTACACTTCACGCGTCCAATATGGAGGGGGCCTGGTTAGCTGCAGTTTGAGCTGGGGGTGTGTGATTGGCAGCCAGAGAATTTCAGGGAAGGGGCACAGGAGGAGGGAGGTGGCCGCCCTCTGTCCTGTGCCCTCCTCAGCCCTCCTCTGGAGGCTCATGTCCAGCTCAGGACGGTTTCCAGAGAAGGGCGCCCTGGCTGGGGAAGAGCCTGACAGAATTAGAGGCTCTTAGTCCAGCGGTGAGAAGGCCAGTCATGGCTGAAGGGCTGTCCTGTGAAGGAAGGTTCAGATTCTTCTGTTAGAAGGGGAGTGGGAGAGAGCTCCTGAGCAGTAAGATTAGGCCGAATGTCAGGAGCTGCACTGGGGTGGAGGGATGGGCTGTGGGTGGTAGGTAGTGAGCTCCCCATCCCAGGATGGCTCCAAACAGAAGCCGGATGGCCGCTTGTCAGGCATGTTGTGGCAGATGGGCTTCTTGTAGCTCATGCAGTCCGTGTGAGCTGGGTCCAGGGCGAGCTTCTCTCCTCTGGGACCTCAGTCTCCCAGAGTACCCTCGTCTTTACTATATTGCCAACGTCCGACCATGAACAATGAACCCTTCTCTGGTGATCTGTCGATTCCTTATTTCTGAAATGAGGGTGTGGCCCTCGCCTTATACAACCATTACCTGGATTTGCAAAGGTTACCTCGGGTTTTTCGTGCATTTTGTAACTAAGGACCCTCATCTTAGCATCTTTCCTGGCAGAGAGGAGGCGCTGGGCTCACTCTCCCAGCTCTAGCTGACCTTTTTTATCCTCGGGGTTCTCGGTTCCTTGCGGGGCCAGGGGTCCCCGCCTGTGTGTTTCACAGGGTCCTTTAGGCTCCCCTCAGAAGTCCTGAGCTAGCAAGCTAAAAGACACTCTTGGCTGCTGCTGCTTCATTTCACAGAGGGGAGACCGAGGCCTAGAGAGGGGAAGGGAGCTGGAATCAGACCCGGCCTGAGGGCTGCTCTTCGAGGCCCCTTCCTGTGGCCAGGATGAGTGGGGGGCAGCTGGAGCGGAGGCCCACACCCCCTCCTTCTGCAGGCAGCCTGTTGCTGGGTACCGGGGCTCAGAGTCGGAGGGACCAGGAACCAGGCTGGGGCCAGGGCTAAGCCCACTGAGATACCCGGGAAGAGGTGAGGGCAGCCCAGGGGTCAGGCCGCCGGTGTGCATGGGGAGAGATAGGAGGAGGGCCTTGAGCACCAAGCCGAGCACAGTGAGCTTACTTGTGAGAATGATGTCCCCGTCCCTAGAGGTGCTGGAGTTTACGTCGGAGGGATGTTTCGGGGAGGGGCTGAACTGAGTTCCCTCTGAGGTTCTTGGGTGACTGTGAGCATGGTGGCCACAGGGTCTCCGCAGAAGGCCCTCACTGGCGAGTGCCATCAGTCAGGGCGTGAACCTGAGCTCCCACCTGGGAGACGTGACAGGCCGAGGCGCCGTGACCGGGGCCCTTTGTCCTATCCTTGTCGTCCCCTTGCTCCAAGCTGCCCCAGGAGCTGGTGGGGGCTGGGGGTAGGGCAAGCAGCAAGTTCCCGGCTGGTCCTGCCCTCAGGACCTCCTTCCACACTGGAACCTCCCCCACTTTTCTCCACCCGCCCTGTTCTCTAAGCCCCTGTCAGAGGCCCTCAGCTCCCTGGTCCCAGGCCCCTGCCCATGCCTCCAGCCCTTTGCCCTTTCCTGTCTCCTTCCTCCTATCTCAATTTGGAAACCACTTGCCAGGAGAGGCAGAACGGAGCCCCCAGACCCCGGCCAGGTCCCCAGCATGACCCAGCCTGGTCAGTGCAGCCACAGGTCCCTGGGCCTTCCCGTCTCTTCCTCCTGCCCCTGAGCAGCCCAAGCTGCAGCCCAGGCTCCCTCCCCACGCCCCGGGCATGGATGGGCCAGGCATGGGCTCGGGCTCCGTCCCCACTCTGAGTTAACACAGTGTCTTCATCCCCCAGGAGAAGCGCCTGGTATATACATGTTTTCCATCCCCTCAGAAATGAGAACAATTCAACCCAGCAGACATCACCACCACACCCACTCCCTGCCCCTCCCCCCATCCCTAGGCAGCGCCCTCTCATCTCTGGGCACACCGTTGACCTTCCAGGGCTGGAGATGTCTGAAGTCATTCATGGCCAAAGACTTTGCCCTGGGGCCCCACCTTCCCAGCCCCCGAGGGGTCTGTCCTGAATCAGCCAGTGTCCCCAGCCCCCCAGCCCCTTGGTCAGAGCTGGCCTGTGGAAGGAGGCTGAGGTTTGTCCTGCTGGGTCCCAGGCACAGAGCCAGCCCCACCAGCCTCCTGATGCAAGGAGAGGCTTCTTGACCATGCAAGTACCCACATCCAGCCTGGCTTCTGGGGTGGTGGGGCCAGGGAGAAGCTGGATGGGGCTCGGGGTCGGACTGGACAAGATGCCCCCCTCCTTTCTAGGAACAGGCTTCCAGCATGGAGCGTGTTGCCCCAGCCCCAGCGGTGATGCAGAGCTGGGCCCTGCCCACAGTGAGTCGCAGGCAGGGATCCGGGCCTGCCGATCCGGGACGAGGGGTGAGGGGTGGGGGCTGCAGCCCAGCTGACCCAGCTTCTCCTCCCTTCCAGTCCTGGACACATAACATCCAGCGAGAGAAGGAGTTCCTTCGGAAGCTGGTAAAAGCCCGTGTCATCACTGACCTCACCAGTGGCATCTGAAGGGCCCCGGACGTGGCTCGTGATGCACCAGCCTCCACAGGATGCCGGGCCCAGCCTGTGACGGGAGAGCCGCCTTCCTTCTTTGTAACTGGACCCCGGATGGACGAGGAGCCTCTGGGTGGGCAAGTGCCAACGGCCACCAGTGCCAGCCTCAACCTGCCTAGCCTCCTTCGTCTAGGCAGGACTTCCTGGGAGAAACACTGGCCCCAGACTGGGCTTTGCTTGGGACTGAGGAACTTGCCTGAGACGGGGTGCTCTGCCTGGCCCTGAAAGACCCTTCCTGGATCTGAGACCTGCCTGGAACTGAAGGGGTCTGCCTGAGAGTAGGGGGCCCTGACTGGCTGGCTGGCAGGGTCTGGCCTTCAGGGCCCCTGGGAAAGTCTCTTGCCTCGGTGTTTGCTGTATTTTATTTTATTTTGTGGATGCAGAGTGGGGTGGGGAGGGAGGGAAGGGGGATAATTTATTTTTTAAATAAGGCTGAAGACATGAAGTCTGGTCAGTGTTTGGCAAGGAGAGAAAATAGGGAATGTCCCTGGGCTGCACCCCAGGGGGATGGGGTCAGGGAACAGCAGAAGGGGTCTGAGGAGCTGGGGGGGAGGGGTGTCTGCTATTCCTAGACCTGCCCCTGGCAGAAGGTGTGGCTTGGAGCCAGCCAGGGAGGGGAGGAGGGGCAGAGAGAGTGGTGTACCCTCCTCTCCTAACTCCCCCCATTCCCTACCTGCCCCGAGCCCTTGGAGCCTTGCAAGGCCCACAGAGGAGGCCTGAGCTCTTTGAAGCGGCAGCAGCAGCAGCAAGCAGCTGCCCCTGCCTCCTGGCACCTTGGGGCTCCAGGGCCCAGGCCTGTTCCTGAATCCCTGAGGCCCAGCAGGACCTGGGGTCCAAGGGGATGGATCTAGCCTCCCTGAGGCCATGTGCTGCTACTGCTACTGCTGGGTGGGATCCAGGCCAGAGGGCCAGGACTGGCCCAGATGAGCAGGGCCCTGTGGGGCCTGTGCTATCCCTTCTTCAGGGGCCAAGGAGCAATAAAGCTAGCAGCAGTCTGGCCTGGGTCTCTTCCTCACCTTTTCCCCTAGCAGGGTTTGAGGCCCACCAGCCTGGTGCCCCCTGTGCACACCAGAGCCCAGCAGAGCCCTGTCTGCCTGCCCCATCATATCTGGCCCCTGGGGTCTCACCAGCTCCTTCTATTAGCCCAGCCCAACCCAACTTGGAGACCCTGCAGGGGCCAGGCAGGCTCCCACCCCTAGTTCAGTGGGCCTGCTCCCACAAACTCTGCCAGGAGCGCTTTTTGAGAGGTAGCCTGCCCACTGATCTGGTCTGGTGCCCTCCGCTGTGTCTCACCATCAGATTCCCCGCACAAGGTCAGGCTCTCACAGAAGCCAAGATACGCCTTCGTGTGGTATTTAACGAAATGCAAAACCCTATTTGGTTTTTCCAAGGAGAGTCAAACCAGAAGTGGTCGTCAGGCCCTGGCTCTAAGCTCTGCCTGCTCCTGGCACCGAGGCCTCCCCAGACCCTGGGTTAGATCTCTCCAGAAATGGCCACCCTGGGAGCCACTTTTGTCAAAGCTACCACCAAGTGGGGCCTCCTTAGCCCCTGCCTTCGCTCTGCCTGGGGGGAGGAAACAGCCATCAGCTTCTAACAGGATGCCCCAAAGCAGGGGCTGTTATTGGGTTCCCTGTCTCGGGGTCCCCTCCCTGGAGCCCCAGCTCAATGTAGTGATTACAGAGCTCGGGGCTGTTTTAGGGGAGTCTTGGAAGCCTCTCCACAGGGCCCCAAGATTGTGCCTCAGTGTCTCAGGAAGAGGCTGGGGCGTGCTCCCACCAAGCACAGCAGCCAAATTGGGGCCCTTATAACCTGGACACTCAATGTCCCTGAGGATGCAGCCCAGAGGGGTGGGTGCAGGTTCTCAACTGGCCTGAAGACAGGCAGTCACAAGCAATACCCTTTTCCCTTCAGGAGCATTGGATGGCAGCAAGGCATCAGGGGTCAGGGTCAGGCAGAGCAGAGCCCAGCCCTGAGGACCATAGGGCTACATCCCAGAAGGCCCCCAGGCTGCCCCAAGGTACAGGGGGTCAGGCCCTGGTCTCTGGAGATGGCCGTTCAGCCCCCGCATGAAACCCTCTGCAGGGAGATGCGTGGCTCCCCACCCGCCTCACGGTGCTCTCACTACCTCTCTGGCACCAGCACATAGTAGGTACTTAGTTAAATCTCGGTTTGCCACATTGTGTCACTCTCTCCCTAGGCTACCTGTTCCACTCTTGGACAGCGCTCACTCTCATGGGAGAAAGCATCCCATCAAATTGCACCTAGCCCTCACCTCCAATCCACCTAAGGGCTGGTCCACCTCAAGAACACTGCAGGCCCTTGCTAATCGGCAGGCCGAAGTCCTGGCAGGCCATGGTCTAAGGGGACCCCTCCCTATGCCCTGTTCTCCTCTGGACGGCCTTGGAGAGATTAGTGACCTCACTGGTAGTGAGAGGCTGCTGGGTGTCTCAGTGCACAGAAGGATGGACTGGCAATCATCCCAGCCTGTCTCAGTCACGAGCTGTGTGACCAGTGGCCAGTCATCCTCTCTGAGCCTCAGTTTCCTCATCTGAAAAAATGGGGATAATCATAGCACCTACCTCCCAGGGTTATTGTGAAATAATATTTATAAAGCACTTAGCACAGTGCCTGGCACATAGTAGGAGCTTAATAAATGCTTGTTTCCATCCTTCCTTTCTATATTGTACAATTAGAGGGCACTGGAATTGAAAGGGTTACAGACAGTTAAAGACCAGGAGGATTCTCTTTAACTCCTCCTCTGTAAGGGACTGACACAAAAAGTGGAGAGCTAAGGGAAGGACACTCCCCCACCGGGGACTCAGTGGGTATGAGACCACTTGGGTACTTCCACTGGCTTGACTAGCAACTCGTCAGTTCAAGATCCTAAGCAACAGCAACAACTTGTAATAATCCCTGGGACCTTGGGGAGTGGTGGGTGGTAGGGTGGGGTGGGGGTGGGGGAGGATGGGGAATGATGACCCGATGCCTGGACATACCCCTCTAACCACACACACACTCCCAGCTTCCTTGTGGATCCATGGGTTCTCTCTGTCTCTGTTTTTAAAAAAATTTAAACGTTTCAATTTTTAAAATATTCTGTTTTAATCAACCAAAATGGGCCTTCTCCCTCCACCTCTCCCCAGTTGAGAACATGAGAAAAATAAAACCTGTTGCAAACACGTCTAGTCAATCAAAACTAATTTCCACATTGGCCATGTCCAAAAAATTATTTGTCTCATTCTACATTCTGAGTCCTTTACTTCTCTGTCAAGGAAGTGGGTAACATTTCACATTCTTCCTCTGAAGTCCTGGTGGGTCATCACTTTGATAAGATTTCAGTACAATGTTATTCCCTCATTTCTATACTATAACTTTTTCAGCCATTCTCCAATTTATGGGCAACTCCTCAGATTCCCATTCTTTGCCACCTCAAAGAACTATCACTGTTTTTGTGCATCAACATTTGTTTTGCTTGGACTGATCCCTTCCTTAACCTTTCTCTAATTCCTCTTCCTCCCTTTTCCCAGTTCCTTCTTATTTCCCTGTTGAGTGAAGTGAATTTCTGTATTCAACAGTGTGTGTGTTGGGTGTCCTTCCTTCTTCTGACTAGTTCAGATGAGAGTAAGTCATGTCTCAGTCATTCCCCTCCTTCTTTATTTGTAAAGATATCTACTTGTGAGCCCCGATTATGTAAGATAGTTGTTCCTAAACTTCCTTCCCCTTCCCTAAGCTGCTCTTCCCTCTCCCTCCCCCCACCCCCTATGTATTCTTTTTCCCTTCTTTTCCCATTCTTTTCTTAGGATCATCAAGACATAACAAAATCACTCTCAGGTTTTTTCTAATTAGATTCTCGATACGAACTTTGATGTCAGAAGGGACCCATAACATTTCCCCATATTTGAATGTAAGCAGTTTATCCTTGTTTATCATTGATCATTCATATTTGCCTTTTTATGTTACTCTTCACTCCTGTATTCAAACTTCAGAGTTTTTCTGTCATCAGGAATGCTTAGAAGTCCTCTTTTTTCATTAAAAATTCATTTCCATCCTGAAGGATTATATTCAGTTTTTCTGGGTAAGTTATTCTTGGCCATAACCCCATCTCCATTGTATTCTGGAATATTAGATTCCAAACTCTCCATTCCTTCATAGTGGTGGCTGCTAAATCATGTGTGATCCTGACTATGGCTCCTCAGTACCTGACTTCTATCTGGTTGCTTGCAGTATTTTTTTAACCTGGAAGCTCTGGATTTTAACTATCATCCTCCTGAGAGTTTTCATCTTGGGAGTTTCAGGAGGTTACAGCTAGATTTTTTTCCATTTTGTCCTTTGGCTCTGAGAGATCTAGGTAGTTTTCTTTTATGAGTTCTTTAAATAGGATGTCTAGATTCTTTTTAAAAATCATACACTCATTCTTAAATTTTTTCTCCTTGATCTATTTTCCAGGTGTTTTTGCTAGGATATACCTTACATTTTCTTCCATTCTTTCAGTCTTTTGACTTTGTGTTAATGTATCTTATTTCATGGAGTCACTGGCTTCTATTCAGTCCTTCCTAATATTTAGGGAGTTTGTTGCTTGGACAAGGTTTTGTACCTAATGTTCCAAGTTGTAAATTCCCTTTCCAGTTCTTTCTTCCTTAGCTCTCATTTCTTTTCTAATTTTTTCCTCAAGTGCTCTCATTCATGAAATTATTTTTAATCTCTTGCTTCATCTCTTTCAGGAATTCTGGTTGAATTTTTGCCCGAGCTTTATTTTTCTCTGAGGCTTTGCTTGTAGATGTTTAGAGTCATTCTCTTCTTTTGGGTTTGTGTCCTGAGTTTCCATAACAGGATTATTTTGTTTGTTTGTTTGTTTGCTTGTTAGCTCATTCTTCCAGTCTACTTCCAGCCTTAAGACTTTATGTTAGGGCTGGGCTCTGCACACTTCATCAGGAAAGGTCTGGACAAATCCTGTTACTGCTTTCTGAAGGTTCAGGACGTTGTGTTATTCCATCATCTCAGGGACGTACTGGGGACTTGTAAGCTTTCAGTACTCCTGGAGCGGTCTGATCCAGGGTAAAGACTGCTACTTGTCTGAGCTCTGACTTGGGACTGAGCAACAGTAGACTGTTTCTGGACTCAGACCCTAAAAGCCAGCTGGGAAACTCTGTTGGTCCTTGAGTCTCGGATTCCCGTTCCAGTTATTCTTCTGTAGGCTGGGCTAGATGTTGGAAGTCTGAGCCGCATCACCGCTGCTGCTGCTGGCTTCTGAACCTTCTCCTATCCCTATACATTTCGCAGAGTCTCCCTAGCCCCATTTGCGGGCCCTTTTCTCAGGTCCTCCTGAATCTGTGACCCCGAGCTGGGAAACCTGTCCCCATCGCTGTGCCCTGGCTGGGGCTGGGAA